CGCTCTTCCCCAGCAGGGCCTGCTAGGCTACAGATTGATAGGCATTAGGAACTTGACTACTGATATTTCCCCCCAGCAAAGCCACCCAACTCTACCTACAACGAACTTGTCCTCCTTCGTTAACTCTCACACAGGAGCACTTCTCTCTCCTTTTATTTTCCTGCATCTTCCTGTGCTCACATTTTTCTTACCTGTTTTTCCTACTCAATCTTGCTCCCTTTGCTTGTATGGCTTAGAAATCAGATATTTATCTCACCCTTTTCTTTCAAGATATTCACAGCCCAGAAGGAATAGGATATTGCTAATTAACTCCAGTTGTGTAAGAATCGGTTGGCCTCGTCCCTTTTTAATGTTTTAAGTGGAAGAAGGGAAGCACCATAAATTCCTTGAGGGCCAGGACTTTTGTGTCCTATATACTGATGAATCCGTCTGATGGGTAGTATGTGCTCCGCAAATACCTGTTTAACGGAATTTGATCATTGCCCTCTCTCTAGGTACTGTAAACCCGAGACTAGAGGCAAAACACTGCAGGATGGGTAGAATTCAGAATGGGTGGGGAGTTGGTGAATGCCGTATTTTCAGGAGTTTGGATTGTGTCCCATGGGCAGCTGATTCTCTCCTTTCTGCAGCCCAGGAGAGTTGGTTTGGCTCCTAGACACTCAGGTTTTCTCCCAGGAGAGAGTATGCTCAACAGAGGACAAGTAGAGCCAAAAATTCTTCCTTCACTCGCTTTCCTTCTCTCAGACTGTCCTTCCCTCCCCTTCAAGATTGTAGACACAGCCTACAATCAAAGAGCAGCTGATAAATTCATAGGATTAGGAATAGTTTCTGTTTACACTCCGTCAAACAATGTTAACTCTCATATAGTAGCACCCACTCGACTTTGCCTTATATAGATAGCGCTTATGCTCATCTCTTTACGGATTGATTCAGTTCTGAGCACTTGCGAGAGCAAAAAATAATGTGTATCTGCCCTCCCTCCAGGCTTTTCTGGTAGCATTTTTGTCTGTGAAACTAAGAAGCTGTAGCTGCTCTTAGAAGAGGGAAGGAGGACGAGCTTCGGAAAAAAAAAAAAAAAAAAAACCCACAGAGTAGGGAGGGTGGAGGATGCGGTTTTAAAGAGATGGGGGGGGTGTGGTCTAGGGTGGGGGCAGAGCTTGAGGTCACAAAATTCCGGGAGGTCCGGAGATCACTGGGGGCGGGGGCGGGGTGGGGCTGGGGGGCTTGTCGCCCAGGCTCCGCCCTTTGCGGAGCTTATAAATAGGTGCCCAGCCTAAGGGAGCGTGAGGACACGTTGGAGCGGTACCGAGCACCTGCCGGAAAACTTGCTGCCGAGAAGGACATTTTGGAGGTTTTGTTGGCTGGAAGAGGGGTCTCTGGAATCCCACTTCTAGATCTTTACTGAAGATTTGAAAGGAATTAATTTAGGGCCATGGGGACAACGAAGGTAAGAACGATACAGTTACTGGTTTTTGCTTGTTTGGGGTAAGCTCCGAAAGGCAAGCCTTAATGGTGATGGCTGTGCTCTCTTTTATACGGAGTCACCTAGCCATCTTAAAGCATTTCCATTTCTTCCCCAGCCTGCAGTGCCACAGTTCCACCAGTTCTCTTTGGATGTCATTTCCTATAAAGGATTTATCCCCGTTTGATATACCTTCCTGTGGTAGGGAAA